CACCTGGTCTATGCATATGCCAGGAACCGGGGTGCCGACTGAGAAGAACCGGCCCTAAGCACTAATCCCGCGCGAATCTGCTTGCTGTATTCTGTCGACATCTGCTTAAGGAAGGCCTCTCTCAGGCGAACGCAGGAGCCTCGCAAAGCTACAATCTCAACTCCTCTATATGAGTAATGGACAAGCATTCCAAAGGGAAAGTAATTGAGTTCCGGAGGCTACACCACAGTGAAATAGGTAGATTAATCGCAACAACAGTATCAAAACACTGGTCATCTGGATATTGAACATATTACAGTAGTATGAATAGTAATAATACTTTAGCCGCGTAAATTGAAGTTAAGGCTCTGCTCCTCTAAGCGGGTCACGTTGTGATCTCGAACCACCTGCTGCCGCCCGCGTGCAAGCCGGAACCGGGCAGGGGCTTCCGTTTCGGGGCTTCGGCCCAGTTTCTTGGGTTCAAGGTTTATGCCGGGTTCGGGGGTTAAGGATCTAAGGCTTGAGGCTCAACTAGGGGCTATTGCCTTCCGGGTCCCCGCTCGAGGGCTTGATCTCTGTCTTGCTTTAAGGGCTTCCCATGATGGTGCATGCTCGCCTACTCAGGCTGTGCTTTGCAAGCACTGAAGCAGGCGGCTGTGCCCGGTGTAGGACCGAGGCGAAAGACTGCGAGGTTTTAGGGCAAGCGTGTAAGGCCCGCCCTAAACCATGGACGCTGTTTGGACCCAGACTCAACACCAGGATAAAGTGCTGAGAAAATCCCTTAACTGTTAGGGTCTCTAATAGGGCTTCGGAGTTCATTATTACACAAACAAAACCAAAAAGGTCAACAGGAGGCACCACTACAAGATATACGCATCAAGAGTTGGAGATTCTTTGAGGTTGTAGGCTTTCTAACCCGGCACACCGAAACCACAAGAACTTTCTCGAGGACACCAAAACCAGGAGCCAACAGCCAGTGATGCCACCCCGAATGCTAAATGCAATCACAGCTGACACACACACACACACACGATCCTAAACCACCCGACAATCCACTCGACCGGAAAGCCGCCAAAGCATATTCAATACGATGGGATGCTGCTAGAATATTGCCCATCATCAGCGCTACCCTTTAAACCCCACCACATCCCCTGTTGGCCTGGTAGTTGTATCCCTGCTCGACCAGAAACTGCTGCCGGCGATTAGCATGGTACAGCTCCTGGGTATCCCGGGAGACAACGGAGTAGAAGTAGGCCTCATTGCAAGGCGGCGGATTCAAGGTTGCTAGTTGTTTGCTGAAGGAGTTTTCGCCCTCCATCATTGGCACTCGCGCCCCGAGTTCAAAGTTGTGAACCTTTTCATCAGCGGAAGACACAAAAAGAGTTCGATGTTCGCCGACACAATTGCTCTCAACCAACCATGTCCGCTGGGAGTTGAAACTCTTCCGCCTCCTCCTCCTCCTCTGCCCCCGCCTGCTCCTCCTCCTCCTCCTGCTCCATCTGGAGCATCATAACTGATGCCAGTGCTCCTGGTGACGGCTTCACACTGGTGACGGTGATAACTTGTAGTGATGATGATCATGGTGGTGGTGATTTTAATGGTACTGGTGAAGATGACGGCAACCACGACGGAGAGCAGCACACTAGTTGGCATGATAAGCAAGAAAAGGTTCATCATCTAGTCATCATCATAAGTTTCATATGTTTCATCCTCAATGGCCAGCCACCGCCAACACCACCACCATCATCGGAAGCACAGTCTTATTTTGGAAGACCAGTCTCCTTTCTGCTGATCATACACAACTCTGCTGCAACACATGCCTTCTCATCAGCATCATCATGACCTCCTCCCCCAAACTGTGCAAGCATCCTTCTTTTACTCCTCTCTCGTCTTGTCTCTGCTGCCATAGCACTAGCAGCACCCCTCCTCATCAAGAACGCCATCGTCAGCAGCATCAGCACTTGGTTCTCCTACCTCTTTTCACGGCTGAAAGCTCGGGGCTCTTGCCTTGGTCGCTGCGGAATGGGGACTTGATGGAACTTTGGGTTTACCCCTAGGCTCCTCAGTAGTTCCTTGTTGGGATTACCTTATAGGATTCTATATATGAACCATAAAAAGGAACTACTTAGGAGCCTATGGGTAGGCCTCCTTCAAACACTCCAAAAAAAGGCGCCCAAGCGGCATTGAACTTGCCTCTCGAGGAATTCGATGTCTGCGGCTTTGGACGCAAGATTCGGCCCAGTCTCTGCGCCTCCTGCCTTTCCAGCTCCAGGGGGTTCAGGGTTTAGGGGTGGGTCTGGGTTTAGGCTCTCACAACTCGGACATGCCAGGCGAGGTTCACAAGGGGGCGTGAAACCAGTGAGCTTGCTTGGGTTAGGGTTTAGGGTTCAAGGGCTATCTTCTTGGGCTTGTAGTATAGCTTCTGATTCTGTGCAGGAAGCTCTGTACGTTGAAGCTCGGGGGCGATCTTTAGTAGTTAGCAAGCGGCGGGCTATACTTAGGACGCTCTAGACTAGCTTTACGTCGCGATGTCGGTAGCTCTTTCTCGAAAGTCAGTATCTACGGCAGCACTGCGTAGAGTAGGGTCGGGCGCTTGAGATCGCAGCCCTGAGCCCAGGGGCTTAGGGCTCGAGGGTAGGGCTTTCTTCCCCCCAACTCCTAAGGTTTGGCGATTTTTCCCCCCTCCTTTCGGGTTGTTTTTTGTCACTTCGGACAAAGCCTGGCAAGGTCTGTACATTAACAAGATACTCCGGCACGCATCACGAATGGGTGCGCCCAACACTCAAACCCAACTCGCAAGGTTTCGGCGTTGGGCCGGGGTTCCCGATGCATACCCCAAGCCTACTCCCAGGTACGTGCTCTTCAGCCAGGCTCCACTCCGAACCCGAGATCTTTCTCCCTTGGACTCTATGCATGTGTGACTGCAGCTGTTTGAAGGCAGTGAGGCGTGTTGGTCCCTGCTTCACGCTGCCTGAACATTCAGTACTGAAGGCATCGAGGCTTTCTGTCACTTCGAACCTGAATCTAAAATGGCGCATCACCTAAACAAACCATGCATGTTTGCAAGTTTTTTTGGGGATACAGGTGATACAGGGTGCAGAGTCTCTGGAGTTTTGCGTTTTGGGGCTTCGGGGATACCCTTTGATTGTTCAGGATCTGGAAGCTTGGGTTTACTTTGGCTGCCATTTGCCTTCGCGACCCATAGTGTGACGAGATCTGCACGATCACATTAGCCTGAGCTTCCGTCGTTCGTCACAGTTCGGACAAAGAAAACAAATACAGCAGGCCAAAAGCATGCGCTGAATCCATGTCGCAGAGCAAAGAGAAATCTCAACGATCCTGCAAGTGCTCATGTTGCCAAGTTGCTACGGGCAAATCGATGGCATTGTCGCCAACCTGTGAGTGATCAGGGCTCCTTGGCTTAGCGAGGGCCGCACAAGCGCCCTGCATATCACCGAACGACCCACAGTACGTTCATAAAGAACCGTCGAAGGGAGGGAATTGACAGGCTGAGGGATAGCACCACACCTAGTCTCTCGGGTTAGTGCTCCTATAGGGCTTAGGATGAGTACTCCGACCGGATGCTGCCACAGATCTCAAAGCGCACCCAGAATTCTAGAAGACACATGGAGATCCCTTAAACCGTAAACCCGAACCACGGGCCTTGGACAGGAAGATCGTGTTGCAGGCGGAGCTTTCCTGAAACTCACTGAGAATCTGCCTCGGGAAGACATATGTCGGGGATTTTCTAGGCGCCTGCATGCCTAGATTATAGGGCCAGGGGGCGCATTCTACAACACTTATATGAAGGAACCCCGATAATTATAACTCTTCAGGCCCCAATATTCGGCAGCTAGGGGTGGACAAAGATGTGGAAACCACCAAGTCGCCAAGAGTGTGGATTCTCGGAGCCCTAAACCCTAAACAACCCAAGCTCCAAAACACCAAAGCCGAAAAAGGCTCAAGGGCAGTCATTGTGGGGTTACCCAAGAGCTGTGGGAAGACCCCTGGTTCGGACGTCTCAAAGTTCGCTCGACCTCCTGACTTCGACCCGTCCGAACAGAGTTCCCTCAAGCGTCTATGGCGGAATAATTACGCGGTGCCGGCGTTTGCAGTATAGTCTAACTAGGAGATTCAACTCCTGACTGCCAGCGTGCATGTCACAGACAAGAAATGGCTATTGCGAGGCAAGAAACATCCGCTCGCGCATGTCCACCTAAGTGCGTGACTTCGGGGCACTCACAATCTTGGACCGTCAACTGTGCTGAACCAGATGCTCTGAAAGTCATTAACGGGTTCGGGGCACGCGATTAAGCAGGGAAAACCGATGTTGCTGTTAACTAATCCAACCCATGCTTTGCGAACCTTAGTTTAAAGAACGTAAACTTTGCAGCTCCAATGGGCGAACAATAACCTGTGCGCCACACACGCATGGGAGTTGGTCATCTGGCAAATCATGCAATAAGCCGTGAACCCCAAACCAGCCCCGCCTAAAACCCTTAAACCCAAAGCCCCCAACCACTAAATCCCTATACAGCCCTAAACCCCCGCCTTTGGCCCTAAGCGCCAAACTTTCGAGCCTCAAATTGCAGACAGTGCGCCGAACCGCAGATGTAGTACCGCCCCAGACGGCGTGCAAAGTCCTTCCTGACAGGCTTGAAGGAACTTGGCCCCTTAGGCTCTAGGGTTTGTTTAGGCTTCAGGGTTGAGGGTTGATGTGCTATAGAAACCAATTGGCGGTTGGTGGTTGAGGTAAGATTTCGATTGGCTCTGTTTGGAAATCTCTGGGAATGCAAGCATTAGCCTTTAGGTTTGCCTTCTAACTTCAGTTTCCAAGCAATGCAAAATCAACTTCTCGTTGACGTTTCGCTTTTTCGGGATTCAAGAACGATCGTACAAACTGCTGCCGGGTGTCAAGATAAAGATGTTGTCGCTGAAGACAATGATCTTGTCTCCACGCTGCTCATGGAATCGAATCAGGTACCTCGGGCAAGGGCGACCAAAACTCTCGAGTCCCCGAAACTACGCACCTGAAGGTCAAGACATAGATGTCCCCAGCCCCAAGAATGAGAGCCCCACATCAGAAGCACTAAGTAAGCTCGAGGTACATATTGGCATACGGAACACTGCACCGAGTCTAAGGATGCAAAGCTGCAGCTTACAGTGAAAGGAAACATTCCTGCCGATCCCAAATTGCATGCTTTCCGCCGTAGCACGACCATGTGCACATCATCGCCCTTCTTCTGCATTCAGGTTCAAGTCTTTAGAGCTACAGTCGAAGCCTCCCCGACACGAAAGCTACTTGTTATAGATGCAAGTGCTTTGCATGTGGGTACTTGTCTAAATCAGGGTCCCCTTTTCGGGTCCCCTTTTTTAACCGTGCCGTGCTACATTGGGTACCTAAAAACTGGCCCTAATTTAGAGAACTAACCCTATGCCTGCAACTCTAAACCCTAAACCCTTAAACGGTCAACGGTGTAGCCCTGAACTCTAAGCCGAGCCCGGCACTCGCACGTCTTCAGCTTGTGAGGGTTGCAGGTCCACAGTGCTCTCTGCAGCGTGGCGCGCATGGAACCTCTGTCGGCTCTTGGAATATAGAGTTCCTGCTGCAATAGTAAATGGGTTTCTGGGGCATGTGCTATACGTAGCTTGAAGCGCTATGTATGTATGTATGTATGTATGTATCTATGTATGTCTGTCTGTCTGTCTGTCTGTCTGTCTGTATGTACGTATGTA